AAATCAGAGTTTATTGTTCCACTTGAGAACAGGAAATGTCCCTTTCCCCTCCTTCAATCTGTAGGCACTGCTTTCAGTATTAGAAATTAGCACATCGCCTACTGTTTTTCTGTTTACTGCTTTTTTATCTCCCAAAGGAGCGCAAGCCCTCAGATAGCTCATGCTAAATCCTTTGTAGGCTTGTTCACGATTGGTTCAGTTTTGCAGCTAGATTTCTTCTGGGCTGAGAGCCACGGTGGCTACACTTGCTTGCAGCTCCAAAGGTCTTGGGTTTGAATTCACTTCAGGAAAAATTAAAAAAACGTGTTACTTCGGCTTCCAGACCAATTCAGCCTAAAATTTATACCTGATAATGTCCTTGGAAGCATCAAATGCGGGATGCACCACTAGATTACTAATTTAAAAATTGACATCATAGCACACCGGGCATACACATAGATGGTACGTCTTCTGCAGCAAATACTTTATGTTTGAATCAGTGGTTGGCAAACTATGGCTCACAGGTCAAAACTGGTCAGCTGAGCAGTTTTTAACTTTTTTTTACTGGCCAACGAAGCTGGTGTAAAATTACTATATAATCTGGCCCTTGAGCTCACGCAATAGAACATGATTTCTGCAGATAACCAGCTTGAACAGACACATTTAGGAATATATAGAAGGCTTCAGTGTACGAGTGTCTGGTCAGAGACGTGGTGAGGGATTATTATCTTAGATTATCCCATAAAGATATTGTGTTACGAGGAAAACGGGTGTTACATTTATAATAGATTTTTTCTATCTGGCAAAAAAAAAGTTTGATGCTTCCCTTCCCCCCAGGTTTAAATGCTAAATGTTCCAAAAGCACACTGATTATACACATGTCGTTTTCTTCCTTTCATGCATCCCTCCTTGTCGTATCTGCTCCTGGTTCCACATTCACACATTCTTACACATGTTATTGCAGCTAACCTCATGTCTTCTATCAGCTTTCATGGATAAATGGTATTCGGAATGTCTCTTTTGTCCAGCCAAGTGTTCCTAAAGTTATCACTTTTGGGACTCTGGGAGCTACCCTCTCACAAATTGTTGTTGATACCTTTCTGTCTTTCCATATGATAGTGTTTCATTTTCCCATAGGGAGGCCCGGAAGTCACAACACACATGGTATTGTGGAGACCATATATTGCTCATGCAACATGATTTCTCCTTTGGCCTGCTTTGCTAACTCCAGTGTTTGTGGAGACCATGTTTTGCTCATGCAACATGATTTGTCCTTTGGCCTGCTTTGTTTACTCCAGTGTTTGTGGAGACCATATGTTGCTCATGCAACATGGTTTCTCCTTTGGCCTGCTTTGTTAACTCCAAAGGAAAGGTAATACCAGTACATCTGGACATCAGGCTGTTTAAAGGACAATATTTTGGTGGACTTGAGATGGAAGGCTAAGTGAAACATTACACTGGCACAACACTATGCAAAGATTATAAGCCCCTGGTGTACAGTCTTGTCAGTGTCTCGTTGAGTGTGAAGCACTTTAGCTGACAACATCAGCATGTTCTTGCTGCTTTGCTTCTTGTCTTTATTCTCATGTCTCTGGGTATTAGAACTTCAATATTTCCATTATCACTTTGTGATAAGAATTGTGGTAATGTTATTCACCAAAAATAATGACTGCTTCTTGATAACAAATGAGTATACCTAGCAAATGTTGTACTTGGGCAGTTTCACACAACTTCAGATAAGAAATGAGGTTATGCTTAAGCATGGACAGATAAATGCTGACACTTAAAGCTGTAATGTCACATTCAGCTTAACCTGCTTTCACCCATAAATGGCGACTGGCATGTTATGTGGTGTTCACCTAGCTATGATATTTGTGCCTTTAACTGCCCAGCACATCCAAGTTCAGCAGATCCTCTAATTCAGCGGTTCTCAAACTGGGTGCTGCTGCAATAATCAACCATTTTTCAAATCTGCTTGAGATCAGCGAAGACAGCAGAAATACCATGAAGAGAGCCAAGAAGAGTTCTGGATGCAAGTGTATTCAGAAACCAATGCTACTGGCAAGGCTTCTGTGCATTCTTAACTTACGCTTACATACAAAACAGATACAGGAGCAAACTTCCTGGGTCAAGTGATTTGAGGGTTAAATTAACTAAACTCCAAAAACACATAAAAGAAATAATGAAAAATTCACCCAAAGTTTCATTCATTGCATTAAAGACAACTGAACTTTTAAATATTGACTGTTTTTTCTTCTTTTCCTAAATATTCAAATCGCTTTAAAGGTAGGTGTGCCTTAAGATTTTTTTTTTTGGGCCTGACAAGGGTGCTACGGCCAAAAAAGTTTGACTTTTGCTCTAATTAGTTGCCTTTTGCAACATGTTTTTTAAAGGCATGATAGAACCTACATGGGGAAAGATTAATCTAGGTATGAGCCTATACTTATCATGACCAGTCTTATGTCATTCAGTCTCAGGAGGGTTTCCCTTCTGACCACTTCATATAGGAAATCTATCATAGAAATATAGAACAAAATATGTCATGAAAAATTGAAAACATTTTGTGAATGAAGTTTCTGGCATTCAAAGTTAGGTCATGAATTATTTATATTTCCCATGTGGGTTCTGGAGCCTCATTATGTTGAAAACAAGAATAGATCTACTGCCCTCCTGACAAGCATCGCAGAGGCGATTAATAAGGAGAGGGTTTCCTTCTAAGTCAGGGTGCGTCTGCCTGAGAGGCAAGGAGGCAGCAGTCTGCTTACAAACAAACCATATATGTAAAACTGATGTGCACAAAACGCTCAAGTTCTGGAACAAGACTAAAGTCCAGAGGTGCAAGAACTAACACCATTTTCCGTTGGAGTTTATAGCAGATGAATGCAAAGAAAACACAAGAATTATTGATTGTGACATAAAGTAACTTTTAATACTCATATTTAGTTGTGAATCCTTGAAAATGAGTAAAGAATAAAATATTGACAACTTATAATAACCTAAAGTATAAGAACACATAAGTGAAAATGATATGTTATTGTTTAGATTATCTGTAATATACAATTTATATCCAAATTACTCAAGTAATATGGACATACAAAAACATTGATTGTAAAATAAAAATTGACTCCTTAGAATACTATCAGTAATATTGCATATGTCTGTGAAACATGAAAGGAATACGCACACATTAGTCGCTGTATCAGATCTCAGCACGAACTCCATAGCACTGGTAAGGAGGTCTTTTAACTTCTCATGGGAACAATTACTTAGAGGTACCTTGGAGATAGTATTAGAGGACTGAGCCTGCACTGATTATGTATCCGTGAATCTGTATATCATTTTTGAGGTATCTTTTGATATTTCCTTAAGAAATAAATAATATAATCTGATTTAAGAAAGGAAATGTTCATTCTGATGACTAAATGTTTTTGAAATGTTCTTTATTGTTATTTTGTTTGTAATAAAATTAACCTGAGACCCCTTTCCCCACTTGAATTTCCTTATTTTTCTCGACGTCCCCTGTCAGTGTCTGTGGCTTCAGGTTCTCAGTACAGTTTCACAATCCTGACATACCAAGGTTTGAAATCAGCTGCAGTTTCGTTGCAGACCTTTTTGCATTTATTTTGACAATGATATGATTATGATTATTGTATAAGCGCTGGACCATTTAGAAAGCAATAACGTACTACTGACCACAAAATTACTTAGTAAAACCAAAAAAAAAAAAAAGCAAAGATCCATGTTCACACCTTTAGGCGCATATGGGAAGAGCACCCATATTTTTATAGACCAAGTAACACTAGGTGGGTAATGTGGTCAGCATTACGCCGGCCATCTTTACATCCCCAGGACAGCCATCCTAGTACCCATTTTTAGGCTGGGTCGATTGGCGACGCCCCATACCATGATAAAAATCCATGCAGTCAGCAGTGGATTTTGATCGCGGTACTTTGGAATTACGAGTCGGACTCGCAACACCTAAGCCATGGACACCGCAGTAAAACCTAAATAACAGCCATTAAATGCAGGGTTGTTTTGCTGATGTAAGGGATATGCAAGTAACCTTTTTAACTTGTCCTGTTATGGGATTGAATTTACTGCACGTGCCAGATGATTTATGGGTACAATTTTATTTGCTGTTCAAGTCCCAGGATATACAGCTGGGTTTCAGTGGTTTCCAAATCAGTAGTCCCGTTCAGTTATCAGTTCCACAGTCAAATTAAAATAAAAAATCGAGAGGATCAACTTCGTTGCACCAGGTTTAATCCCATATGGCTTCACCTCTCTACATAAAGGCTAGACATCAATATAGAGCATAACATAAAGCATGAACTCCACAGCTTCATTGACGTTCCCCAGGGATCTGCATAAAAATTGCACTCATGAACCTCTAAAAATGCAAACCGCTTTGCTACAGACACCCCACCCCCAACAATAAAGAGACAAAATTATCTCCCAAGTTGTTCAAAATCTTGCTCAAAGAATAGTGACATTAAAAAATATCCACATTGCCTTGATAAAAATTCTGAGACATCTGTGCATAAATCTACAGTGTCTTCGTTCTTTGCGCCTACAAACAGACACAGGGGAACCTTTGATTCGTCTTGTTTCAGTACAGAGATTTCAAGTTTCATGCAATGCCACACCAGTCTGGTATAACCCCCAGCCCAATGCCACACCAGTCTGGTGTAACCCCCAGCCCAATGCCACACTAGTCTGGTGTAACCCCTAGCCCAATGCCACACTAGTCTGGTGTAACCCCCAGCCCAATGCCACACTAGTCTGGTGTAACCCCCAGCCCAATGCCACACCAGTCTGGTGTAACCCCCAGCCCAATGCCACACCAGTCTGGTGTAACCCCTAGCCCAATGCCACACCAGACTGGTGTAACCACCAGCCTTATGCAGGTAAGGATCGTAAGCGTCAGCTGTGTATATGAACCATAGAGCATACACTAATTGCGGAATATTTAAAAGAAAGAAAGGTAAAAAAAAAAAAAAATTACTTAATATTACGGAGTGTTAATTTGCAAGCTTTTCAAAATCTTGTTCAAAAAAATTGTGACACTCAAACGCGCCCATTTTCCCATGCTGAAACCCGAATGGCACTACAATATTTTTGCATACTTGTAAAATATCAGCATTCATGGCGCCGAGTCCTAATGCTAAAGGCACTTTTGATCCATCTTCTTTAACTATGGAAATCGCATGTTTCAAGCCATGGAATATAGCAGGTGTTAGCTCACTTTCTTCGTGTCCTTGTTGTGGTTCTCCGTAGATTTCTATTTTGAAATATATCATATCTGGAGTTTTGTAATGTGCGCAGACAATTAGAAGACCACGAGGATGACTTTCTGTTTCCTGCTTCCTAGAGACCAAGGAGGCCTTGTCTGTATTTGAATCAGAATTTAATCTTTCAATACTTCTGGCAAGAGCTGCTGATAGGCTCACGTGTGGTCGTTGTTTCTGTATATGCTTTACATTGCTGGTCAGTGGATCAAAAAACCAAGAGATCACCGCGAAGAACTGGCTAGGGAACAAGTAGCTGGCAAGTTCCGGGTTCTCGAATAGGATGCGAAACACTTCAGTGTCCACGATCTTGATTTCTGGGTAGTCTTTAATGTCAGGCTGTTGTAACTGTACAATTTCCAAAGGCTCATATATTGCTAAAGCCTGCAATAATAATAATAATAAAATTATAACAATATGATGATAATAATAATAATAGTAATATAGATGTCTGTGTGTGTAATGAATGGGGACATGAGATGCGTGTGGGTGGGTGGGTGGGGAAAAGGGGGGTGAGTTGGTCAAAAATTTCAACTGATAGCTTTCAGACAATAATCAAATTGGTGATTTTTTTGTTTTTTTTACTTTACGCATTGCTTACGTTAATTACATATCGTATGATAATTACAATATGAACTAGATGAAGCACAAGCGGGTTTCAGACAGGGTAGAGGAACTAGGGATCACATATTTAATATGAGAATAATTTTTGAAAAATGCAGAGAATACAATGTAGATCTTCATGCTGGTTTTATTGATTATAGCAAGGCATTTGATTGTGTCCAGCACCACCAACTGTGGACTATTATTAAAAGTATGGGGTTTCCAGCGCATTTAGTGCAATTAATTGAAAATCTCTATCATGAACAACAAGCAGCCATCAGAGCAGCTGGTGAAACATCTGATTGGTTCGAGGTGCAAAAGGGGGTGAGGCAGAGGTGCATTCTTTCACCATACCTATTCAATATATACGCAGAAAATATAATGAGAAATGTCAAAAATGACCAGACTTGTGACAGCTATGATCCGCTCAAAATTGGTGGCAACCCTATTCCGGAACTCCGCTACGCAGATGACACAGTCCTCCTTTCGAAACAGTGTAAAGGGAATAGAAAATTTAATATTGTCCGTCCAAAAGCACAGTGAAGATCAAAATCTGTTCTTGAATTTAAAGAAAACGAAAATAATGTCCACAGATAAAACTGGCTGTCACCCAAAAATAACAATAAATGATGAAGAAATTAAAAATGTCACAAACTTTGAATATCTAGGCTCTATAATAAATAACAATGGAGACTGCTCGACAGAAATTAAAAGGAGGATGGCCATAGCAATGCAAAGATTGAACAGCCTTAAAAGTCTGATTAAGCACCAGCAAGGAGATAAAAATTAGAATTTTGAGACCATGCATCTTCCCTGTGGCTACATACGGATGTGAGTCGTGGACTATCTCTCAGTCCTTAAGAAAGATAATAGGGGCTTTTGAGCTGAAATGCTATAGAAAGATTCTCAGAATATCTTGGACAAAGAAGATGAGAGATATTGACATCTTAAAAGATCTGAACATCAAGGAAGATTGGCTAATAAACAGCATCCTTTCTCGAAAGCTGAAATATTTTGGTCATATCAAGCGCCACGAGGGATTTGAAAAAAATTATAGCAGAAGGCATGGTACCAAGAAGGAGGGGCAGAGGCCGACCGACACGAAGATGGGCACAGGATATAAGTGACTCCTTGAGTGTGAAAGTTCATGAGGCGGGAGAACTGGCAAGAGACCGAGTTTTTTACAGGCAGACTGTGATGAGAGCGACGTTCTGCAAAGGACCTGCTACATGATGATGATGATGATAATATTCAAGATTTGCCAACCGGTTTGGTCAGTCATGACTTTTTCCCTTATCCTAATCTGTGGGATGCAATTTTTCGTTGAAGCCCATCTCTGGCCTTTGCAAGGGGCCCTAAATAAAGCCGGGCCATAAATATGGCCTAATGGCTAAAAGAGGTTTCTGGGACCTCTCTACGTGTGATCCTCATCCGCATGGTGGCACTTTGTGTCACCTGGTGTTTATGGCTTGTTTGATGTCCTGGTGGGGTATAACTTATATACTTACACTGCCCATTTCCCTTTGCCACTTATTGTGTCTTTATACTCCCTATTCATTTTTGTTTGCGTCTGTTGACAATGAAATATCTAACATTCAGTAGGAAAAACCTAACCACTCCGGTCTAATATTAACCAGCAGCCACTATGTGCCGTGTTGAATTATTACGAGATGACGTCGCTTCCCATGGGTTTAGGAAAGTCTGTAATAGGCTCAATATGAGTAACAACCCACCCAAATTGCCCGGCAGGTTACTTCGTAACCGCTTTGTGATGCCCCAGTATAACTGTGCTTTATGGCTGTACGGTCTACTGGGATTTATGGTATTTGTGGCTGTTTGATTCTCATCCTTAGGATGCTAATCCTATAAAATGGAAATCTAGTCTTGCTTTACTCTGATAGATGCAGAGTGACCGTTAAAACTTACCAAGTGAAGAACTCACGATGTTCATGAAGCTTACACCAGAGCGTTCTACTCTCTGATGCGGCACACTATTCAATTCTAATTACCGAACAGCAACGTGACTGCTATCAGGAAAACGCCAGCTAAAGGATTTTGTTTATTCTAATTAATATTTGTGGTATTTTAGATTTATGTAATGTGCTGATGAAGGCTTTCTAGCCGCAACGTCCACTTGTGGTTTGTAATAATGTAAAGCTGACTGGTTCTGCTTTTCGTTTGCATTCTCATCATACGCTTACATAAAAAACAGATACAGGAACAAACTCTCTGGGTCAAGTGATTTAAGGGTAAAACTAACTAAACTTCCCATGTACATAAAAAAAGAATGCAAAATTCACCCAGTTTCTTTCATTCAGTGCGTTAAAGACAACTGAACATTAAATGTAAACCGTTTTCCTTTTTCGTTAGTTTTCAGACCACTTTAAGGGTGATGTGCTGCGACATTTTGGTTTGCCTAACAAGGGTGCCGTGGCGAAAAACAGTTTGAGAACCTCTGTACTATGAACCCTTGTTTAGTGGCAGCAGCCGTGGCGTAGAAATAGACGCTCGCCTCCAAATCTGAAGGTCGTGGGTTTAGGTCCAACGAAGTCAAACATGTTTCAACCACAGTCTTAAATGGGTACCAGGTAAAGACCTGGGAAGTAAAGGCGGCTGGCGTGATGTTGATTCATCACCCGTATAGTGCTAAATGGTCTATATAATACAGATATAGCCCTATATGTGCGCATTTGCGCATTTACAACTGAAGACGTGGAAAATGGCCATGTACCCCAATTTTTTAAAATTATTTATACGCAAGCAGTTATAGTTTTAAGATTATGAGACCTCTATTTATTATGTACCTACGACTCAGGTTTCATGGTAGAAATATCTTCTGATTCCTTGCGGTCTGTACAAGTAACATCTCAAGGATGCGAATCAGCTACGAATCCTGGAAACCGCGTTCAACCGTATGCCCATATAGCACAGTGCTACTGCGGCATCACAAGCACCTCAATTCAAGTTGATGAAAATGTAGTTCTAAAAAATTACGTTCACTTATCATCACGTACCTGGCCAGATAGAGTGGGCGTTGACTCTTCCACCAGAAAAAAAAAAAAGTTTAGGGCCTTAGCCCTTTATAATTTTCTAGGGGGTGAAGTCATCAAGGGGACTTAAGCCTTGTTTAAATACACAGTAACAATAAGAAGGGGGGGGGGGGTGCACTAAGTGCCTTGCAAGTTTTCTGAGGGACGGGATCTCAACTTCACTAAAATTATTGTAAGAGGAAGGGTGTTCTCAGTGCCTTAGCCTGATTCCTAGGCTACGGATCCCCCATACAGATCTAACTTACTTACCCTAGTCCCAAGCAATCGGTTCTGGCTCCTGAACGTAGCGCTGTCCACCAGTCTGACAATATTCGTGCAGCAAGTTCGAATTCGCTTCTGCCCAGGAACATCTTTATAATCTTCATAGATTTTCTTTCTAATCTGTTTCAGGAGTCCCTGACCTCGAAACTTGTCCTTGACCCTGGCTGAACGAGCCATTAGAGTGTTGTTGTCATCGAGTAGTGAAACGCCTTCAAAGGCCGCCTGTAGAAATAACACACACAAAAAAAAGGGTAAAGTCGAGAGAATTAACTTAATTGCACCAGGCTTTATCCCATATGACTCGATCTGACTCCGCAGAACGGCGAGCCGCATGCCAAGAGCATCGCACAGAGCACGAACTGTATAGATCCGGTGACGATTCCTCAGGGATCTGAGTAAAAATTGCACTCATGAACTGAACGACGCGGCCGTGACACAAACCGACGACCTTCAAAGGGCGAGGCAAAAGGTTAGACCACTTCGCCACGGAGAAACACCCCCCCCCTCCCTCACCCCTACCACTGGGAATAACAAACAGGCATATATAAAACGAAGACATCCCGATTCTAGTAAAGAAGAGGACTATGAAGCTGTTTTGGACATTACTAAGGAATTCAGCCTCTGAAATTTTTCATTTTTTAGGCTGTGATAAGAGCGACGTTTTCAAAGGACTTAAAATGTGTAATAAAACTTGAAAAGATAACGTCTAATATACATAGATTAGGGGGGGGTGAGGAGGGGGCGCACAGACTCTTGCAAATTGTCTGTGGAAGGGAGATATTAGCCTCCCCTCAAAGAGTATTGAGGAGCTGCCAAACAATTAGGGAGGCGCTTCAGGTGGGCGACGTCCCAGGTTCTGGCGCCTCAAGTGATGAAAATCTGTTGTTTCATAGCATCTCATCTTGAATGTAGTGTTTACTACAGAGAATTCCTTATTTACATGTCCTACTGTAAAAAGGGTCTTATATATTTAAATATTTACAACACTACTCTCATTGGATTGTCTTATTTTATTTTATTTTTTTATTTTTTTTATCCGTGTTGTTTTTGTCGTTCTTGTTGTTGTTGTTGTTGTTGTTGTTGTTGTTGTTGTTGTTGTTGTTGTTGTTGTTCTTCTTCTTCTTCTTCTTCTTCTTCTTCTTCTTCTTCTTCTATTCTTCTTCTTCTTCGTCTTCTTCTTCTTCTTCTTCTTCTTCTTCTTCTTCTTCTTCTTCTTCTTCTTCTATTCTTCTCCCTCTTCTTCTTAATATTCACGGGCTGTAGATTCTAGCCAAAAGTTCTAGTTGTTCATCGACGTCTGGACTTGCTTGAAGCAGAAAAATTGTGCGTGCACATCCGCTTTAGAGATCTGGGTTATTTGTGACTTGCAAACTGTTAGTTCTTCACCACTCAGGCTTACACTTTGGAGGGCAAGATCCACAGTCGCCCTTTACAACATGCATGTCAGCAAGATCCACAGTCGCCCTTTAC